GCGTCGACTATTAAATCAGTCGTCGACGATTTTGATAGTCGACGTAATCGTGACTAGTCGATTAATCGTGGCAGCCCTAGTAAACACAGTGAATCGAGTTCAGACTCTGACTTTCACTCTTTATGCTAAGCTAAGGTAAACACATTGCTGTCACGCCCAGAAAGAATGTGAATTAATATAGTTATTTCCTCTAAATATGATTGTTTCCAGGTATTTTTCACATATGAAACCTTACTTTCCTTTGACCTGTCTTGCAGGAGGTGATGGTGGACAGGTCAGCCCAGTACCAGCACCTGACTAACATGGAGCTGATCACCTTGCTGCTGCAGCAGGAGATGGACATGCAGAAGCAGCAAGGAGCCTCGGAGCAGCAGGAGGCGCAGCTGGAGAAATGTGAGGCCGAGCTGAAGAAGGTCAAGTCACAGGTTCGAGACCTGGAGGACTACATTGATAATCTGTTACTGCGGATCATGGAGCAGACGCCAACGCTGCTCCAAGTGCGTGCTAGGCACAAGTGAGGACAGTGCTAGTGTGTGATTGGTGTGTTTCAGGCCTCTAGGATGTTGCATTATTGAAAGTTGTTATTTATGGATGAGAGTACGTAACTGTTCTGGAGGCAGATCTCCACCAAATCCGATCTCACAAACATCCAGGTCTTCTCACTGCTAATACTGCCCTGTTGATGTAGACACGATATTACCCAACATGCATGCTGGTTACTATCCCAATTTGGTACAAACAGAAAGCAGACAAAGCAGAAAAAAAGCTTTTATCAAAGCAGAAGCAAAAAATTATTTTACTCATGCTTATGCATTAATGTAGTCAGCTGTTGTCAATTTAATCTTAAACTCACTGCTTTCACATGTGCTTAAAATAAAATAAAAAAATAGGATACAGAAAAAAAATTCTGGAAATGTTTTTGATGTGCTCTGGTCAAATATGATGTTAGCTTAAGAAACACTTTAAAAATGTAGGATTTACAGCCAATTAAATTTTGACACAAGGCTGTTTTATCAGTCCCGTGAAAAAATGCATCCACAGAGGTGAACTTGAGCTAACACCATATTTTTAGATTGTATTTAAGAATAAAGGTTGTAGCAACACATAAACTGCTGCTTTGCAAAGTGGATTATATTAAAAAAAAAAAATGACTGTTTCTGCATTAACATTGCTGTATGATGACCAAAAGAACAACATTTATGTTTGTGTCAGAAAAGACTGAAGAGGATAAAGACTTACAGTTTGCATTTGCAATAAAATACTCTGTTTCTTCAGTGCTCTCCCCTCTCCTGG